ACTGGAACGGCCTCATTTGGATGAGTAGAAAAGGACTTATAGCCAAAAGAGCGAAGACTGTCCAAAGCCGATCTATCGAGAATCGACGCCCAAACCGCGCAGAACGGCCGGCCGAGGAACGCATGTTCCGCTCTCGGCCAAAATTGCGTCCGTCCGTCTGAAGTCTCGGCCAAAGTTCAAAACCGTTCGGCCGATCATGCATCACGACCCGGGAAACTAAGACCCGCAGTCGGCCACGCCACGACCGTCCACGCCTCGCCGCGCACGACCATGCCGCGCGAGCCGGGAAACAAAGCCTCGCGGCCGCGTAACCTATCTCGCGTACCACGGCCGATGGTTCCGGCTCGTCCCAAGTCCGGCCGAGAAACCATCGACCATTCCATCAACCGTCCGACCACACCGGCCGACCGTTAAATCATCCGGCCACGACCGTTCCGACACGGCCACAACCCGACTGTCGGGCCGATCGTCCCGACCGACCGTCTGAACGCCGCGGTCGCCCCAAAGCCGTTTTTGAAGCCCAATCCGCACAATCCAAGCCCAAAGCCGGCGCCGACCTAGCAAGATTAGGTCTAGCCGCTTTTTCATACTTAGTGTATTATAAATACTTCTTTTTAGCCTTGTAACTCAAGAAGGAGAGAGACCACAATATATTTTACATCTTTAATAAAGTTTTGGTTGCTTTTACTTTGTTCTTGCGTGTGCTCTTTCTAGAGAGGATTCGAATCTCTGTTCTTATGAATATGAATTCGTGTTCCTTCTCTATGTCTGAGTAGTTTACTTGTTAAGTGATAGGAAGTCAAAGGATAGCATTCATGTATGTTTGATGATTGATCACAATTAGGGTTTTACTTATAATCTCCATCTTTGCTTATACTTAATGCTTGTTGTTAATCTGGCCAATAAGCATATGAACTTGGGTTGATTTGAGCCTCGATAGTGCTGTATCATTCGCCTGAACTAGTATTTGGTGGGCAACCTCTTTTAGACTGCGAAAGTTGATTTACTTGTAGGTTGTGAACAATTGAACTTAATCAAACTAATGCTTGATTTAATCACCTAAGGATATACCAAAAGTTTAGCGACTAGGTAGATTAACAAAGGGGTCGGAGCCTCGACAGTGGAATGATCATACCTTAGTGTTTCAAGTTCTAGAATGACACCTAATTGCAGTAACCCTAATTGATTGATTTCTTGCTTCATGAATTGCTTATCTTAAGACTATCCTATTGCTTAGCCCTTTTCTCCTATTGATCTTATTCTATTTGAAACTTGCATGCCTTTACTCTTACTGCACTCAACCAAACCTTATACTTTTGCCCTAGCTCGATCTCGAACTTATAGCTTGTAGTGTGCAATCTGGTCCTCGTGTTCGATACCCGTTTACTACTTCTGACCTGTGCACTTACAGAATCAGGGATAGGAAAGGGGAAGACCTGATCCCGCGATCAAGTTTTTGGCGCCGTTGCCGGGGACCAATTTGTCACCTACAAGTTCCTGCAAGAGAGCTAGTCTAGGGTTTTATCTTTTTCCTTTTTAGTTTTGTTATTTTCCCTTTTCCTTTTGATTTGGTTTTTCCTTTTTGTTTTTGATCTTTTTCAGGCTTTCCTAGTTAGATATGGAAAATGATTCACAAGTCCTTGTTCCTATAAAGGCGATTCCACTTCGCCAAATACCACCTCAAAGAAACCTCTTGGACGAACAAGAGATGTCAAGCCCTCAAGCACCACCACCTTCTTGGGATAGTCCTCCAAAACTATCCTCCTTGAAGACAAAGAAGAAACTTCTTCCCTACCTTGAAGCAGCCGACCTGGAGACATCTAGCCAAGCCGCATCTTACAGAGAAGAACACCTTCTAGCCACGCCAGAAGAGGAGATTAACCCTGAGATGATTGAGTTCGTGAAGAGAGATCAATTCCATCATCTGTTTTCAGAGTATGCGCTAGAGCATCTGGATCACTTTGATAATCTTTGTGATTCCTATGGAGTCTTTGACTTTGAGAAGAAGATGATGCTATTCAGCACATCACTAGCTGGACCAGCACTAGATTGGGCGCAGCATGAGCCACTCTCTACAATCGAGTCATGGATCGATTTTAGAGAAGCCTTCTTGAAGAGATTTGCAAGGCTACCACCTTTCAAGTCCAAGTACAATCACTACTCTCATCAGCTGGAGAGAGAGCGTGAAGAAGAAGAATGGGGAGGCATACCACCCCATCTTGAAGAGCTAATCAAGCATGTGGAGAGAAACCCTTTCTACAATTCTACTTCAGAGTGTGCAAAGGAGCATCTATGCAACTTTGAGCAGCTTTGCCACGACTATGGAGTTGGAGATAACCCCAAGAAGATACAACTTTTCCAACTATCTTTAGCTGGACAAGCCAAAGAATGGGCTAAGTTCAACGCCCAACATGCTTTCAAGACTTGGAATGGATACAAAGGAGCTTTCCTCTACAGATTTGCTAAAGGTCCCATTTATGTTCCACCACCACGCCCCAGTAATTTTTCGATGGATTTCCGACGGTTTTCAACAGCACAAAAACGGTCGGTAATCCGTCGGCAATTTCCGACGGATTAGAACTCGTCGGAATTATTGGGATATTTTCGATGGTTTAGCGACAAATTTTATTTCCATCGTATATAGGGAAATATTTCCGACAGTGTTTCAACAGGCATGAAGTCCGTCGTAAATCACAGGAAACATTTCCGACGGTTTAATGAGGAATACAAAATCCGTCGGGAAAATTTTGATTAATTCCGTCTACAATTCGTCGGATATATTTGCGATAAATTTCCGACAAATTTCCGTTGAGAAAATAAGCGATGACTTTCCGACGGAATCATTTTCTGACGGATTATCGACAGATTTCCCGATCAGGACCATTGCGGATAATCTCTCAGTATTCCGCCGGGAAACTGTTTCGACGGGTTCCGACGGCTTACTATCGACAGATTATTGATGAACATCCCGACCATGATGGTTGTCGATAAACTCTCGGTAATCCGTCGTTAATAATTTTCGACGGATTCCGACGGTTATTTACGACGGATTTCCGACGAATGTTGTTTTTCCGACGACTTGTAATTGACGAATTATAACGGTCGGAAATCCGTCGATATAGATGGTTTCCGACGGTTGATCGACAATTTTCTCCATCAGTTTCACGCTGTTTTCTTGTAGTGCCGGACTTCAAACCAGTTCAATGCCACTGCATCAACTTTGGATGGAGCTAGAAAACGATCTACTCAATGGATTTCATCAAGACTAGTTCCCTGCGTGCTCTGATTGAGTTAACTTTCCAACGCAACTGGAACGGCCTCATTTGGATGAGTAGAAAAGGACTTATAGCCAAAAGAGCGAAGACTGTCCAAAGCCGATCTATCGAGAATCGACGCCCAAACCGCGCAGAACGGCCGGCCGAGGAACGCATGTTCCGCTCTCGGCCAAAATTGCGTCCGTCCGTCTGAAGTCTCGGCCAAAGTTCAAAACCGTTCGGCCGATCATGCATCACGACCCGGGAAACTAAGACCCGCAGTCGGCCACGCCACGACCGTCCACGCCTCGCCGCGCACGACCATGCCGCGCGAGCCGGGAAACAAAGCCTCGCGGCCGCGTAACCTATCTCGCGTACCACGGCCGATGGTTCCGGCTCGTCCCAAGTCCGGCCGAGAAACCATCGACCATTCCATCAACCGTCCGACCACACCGGCCGACCGTTAAATCATCCGGCCACGACCGTTCCGACACGGCCACAACCCGACTGTCGGGCCGATCGTCCCGACCGACCGTCTGAACGCCGCGGTCGCCCCAAAGCCGTTTTTGAAGCCCAATCCGCACAATCCAAGCCCAAAGCCGGCGCCGACCTAGCAAGATTAGGTCTAGCCGCTTTTTCATACTTAGTGTATTATAAATACTTCTTTTTAGCCTTGTAACTCAAGAAGGAGAGAGACCACAATATATTTTACATCTTTAATAAAGTTTTGGTTGCTTTTACTTTGTTCTTGCGTGTGCTCTTTCTAGAGAGGATTCGAATCTCTGTTCTTATGAATATGAATTCGTGTTCCTTCTCTATGTCTGAGTAGTTTACTTGTTAAGTGATAGGAAGTCAAAGGATAGCATTCATGTATGCTTGATGATTGATCACAATTAGGGTTTTACTTATAATCTCCATCTTTGCTTATACTTAATGCTTGTTGTTAATCTGGCCAATAAGCATATGAACTTGGGTTGATTTGAGCCTCGATAGTGCTGTATCATTCGCCTGAACTAGTATTTGGTGGGCAATCTCTTTTAGACTGCGAAAGTTGATCTACTTGTAGGTTGTGAACAATTGAACTTAATCGAACTAATGCTTGATTTAATCACCTAGGGACATACCAAAAGTTTAGCGACTAGGTAGATTAACAAAGGGGTCGGAGCCTCGACAGTGGAATGATCATACCATAGTGTTTCAAGTTCTAGATTAGCACCTAATTGCAGTAACCCTAATTGATTGATTTCATGCTTCTTGAATTGCTTATCTCAAGACTATCCTATTGCTTAGCCTTTCTCTCCTATTGATCTCATTCTATTACTTGCATGCTTTACTTTCTCTGCACTCAACCAACTTATACTTTTGCCCTAGCTTGATCTCAAACTCATACTTGTAGTGTGCAATCTGGTCCTTGTGTTCGATACCCGTTTACTACTTCTGACCTGTGCACTTGCAGAATCAGGGATAGGAAAGGGGAAGACCTGATCCCGCGATCAAGTTTTTGGCGCCGTTGCCGGGGACCAATTCGCACCTACAAGTTCTTGCAAGAGAGCTAGTCTAGGGTTTTATCTTTTCCTTTTTAGTTTTTGTTATTTTTCCTTTTTCTTTTGATTTCGTTTTTCCTTTTTGTTTTTGCTTTTTCAGGTTTTCCTAGTTAGATATGGAGAAGGATTCACAAGTCCTGTTCCTATAAAGGCGATCCACTTCGCCAAATACCACCTCAAAGACCTCTTGGACGAACAAGAGATGTCAAGCCCTCAAGCACCACCACCTTCTTGGGATAGTCCTCCAAAACTATCCTCCTTGAAGACAAAGAAGAAACTTCTTCCCTACCTTGAAGCAGCCGACCTGGAGACGTCTAGCCAAGCCGCATCTTACAGAGAAGAACACCTTCTAGCCACACCAGAAGAGGAGATTAACCCTGAGATGATCGAGTTCGTGAAGAGAGATCAATTCCATGATCTGTTTTCAGAGTATGCGCTGGAGCACATAGATCACTTTGACAATCTTTGTGATTCCTATGGAGTTTTTGACTTTGAGAAGAAGATGATGCTATTCAGCACATCACTAGCTGGACCAGCACTAGATTGGGCGCAGCATGAGCCACTCTCTACAATCGAGTCATGGATCGATTTTAGAGAAGCTTTCTTGAAGAGATTTGCAAGGACCACCTTTCAAGTCCAAGTACAATCCACTACTCTCATCAGCTGGAGAGAGAGCGTGATGAAGAAGAATGGGGAGGCATACCACCCCATCCTGAATGAAGAGCTAATCAAGCATGTGGAGAGAACCCTTTCTACAATTCTACTTCAGAGTGTGCAAAGGAGCATCTATGCAACTTTGAGCAGCTTTGCACGACTATGGACTTGGAGACAACCCCAAGAAGATACAACTTTTCCAACTATCTAGCTGGACAAGCCAAAGAATGGGCTAAGTTCAACGCCCAACATGCTTTCAAGACTTGGAATGGATACAAAGGAGCTTTCCTCTACAGATTTGCTAAAGGTCCCATTTATGTTCCACCACCACGCCCCAGTAATTTTTCGATGGATTTCCGACGGTTTTCAACAGCACAAAAACGGTCGGTAATCCGTCGGCAATTTCCGACGGATTAGAACTCGTCGGAATTATTGGGATATTTTCGATGGTTTAGCGACAAATTTTATTTCCATCGTATATAGGGAAATATTTCCGACAGTGTTTCAACAGGCATGAAGTCCGTCGTAAATCACAGGAAACATTTCCGACGGTTTAATGAGGAATACAAAATCCGTCGGGAAAATTTTGATTAATTCCGTCTACAATTCGTCGGATATATTTGCGATAAATTTCCGACAAATTTCCGTTGAGAAAATAAGCGATGACTTTCCGAGGGAATCATTTTCTGACGGATTATCGACAGATTTCCCGATCAGGACCATTGCGGATAATCTCTCAGTATTCCGCCGGGAAACTGTTTCGACGGGTTCCGACGGCTTACTATCGACAGATTATTGATGAACATCCCGACCATGATGGTTGTCGATAAACTCTCGGTAATCCGTCGTTAATAATTTTCGACGGATTCCGACGGTTATTTACGACGGATTTCCGACGAATGTTGTTTTTCCGACGACTTGTAATTGACGAATTATAACGGTCGGAAATCCGTCGATATAGATGGTTTCCGATGGTTGATCGACAATTTTCTCCATCAGTTTCACGCTGTTTTCTTGTAGTGCCGGACTTCAAACCAGTTCAATGCCACTGCATCAACTTTGGATGGAGCTAGAAAACGATCTACTCAATGGATTTCATCAAGACTAGTTCCCTGCGTGCTCTGATTGAGTTAACTTTCCAACGCAACTGGAACGGCCTCATTTGGATGAGTAGAAAAGGACTTATAGCCAAAACAGCGAAGACTGTCCAAAGCCGATCTATCGAGAATCGGCGCCCAAACCGCGCAGAACGGCCGGCCGAGGAACGCATGTTCCGCTCTCGGCCAAAATTGCGTCCGTCCATCTGAAGTCTCGGCCAAAGTTCAAAACCGTTCGGCCGATCATGCATCACGACCCGGGAAACTAAGACCCGCAGTCGGCCACGCCACGACCGTCCACGCCTCGCCGCGCACGACCATGCCGCGCGAGCCGGGAAACAAAGCCTCGCGGCCGCGTAACCTATCTCGCGTACCACGGCCGATGGTTCTGTCCGAGCCGGGAAACAACGTCCCACGTCCGGCCGAGAAACCATCGACCATTCCATCAACAGTCCGACCACACCAGCCGATTGACCGTCTGAACGCTGTCGTCGACCCGAACCCGTTTAGAAGCCCAATCCGCACAATCCAAGCCAAAAGCCGGCGCCAACCTAGCAAGATTAGGTCCAACCTGCGACAAACCATTAGAAAACAATACTAAAATAGTATAAAAAGCATGTAAAATAGAGGTATATCAACTCCCCCAGACTTAGATCTTTGCTTGTCCCCAAGCAAAAGAATCTAATCCGTGAAAGAGGTTTGAAAACGTGGAAACTCCCTTGCTCTTTTGAATATCCTGTGAAAGGTTCCTTTCCTGTATTCCACTAAGAACATAGACAACATAAGGTTAGCTTCACATACACCCTGCAAGTTTAGCGAACAATACCAACCCAACTAGTCTCATCCAGCAATCCAAACTCTCTATTGCTAACCTCTTGCATAAATTTAAAGCGTGAGTTCTTTATCAAGGGAACATCGATCAATTGAACTTGTTCTTACCCACTTGATCTTCTCCAAGATTGTCTTTAAGTGCAATGAGTTCTTTTCCTCTCTCTTTCTCACATCAGAACTTTGAAAGGTCAATTTCTCCCTACTTTTCTAGGGTATCATTTTATTTTTTCTATTGACCCTTCTTTCAACCACAGGATAAGTCTTTAGCTTGTTCCTTGTTTGACTAAGGTATTCCATAAGACATGAAGGTACAGACATATGCATTCCTCATGCTTACTTGTTTTCCTTGTGCTCTTTGAGCTTTTTCTCATAAACATTACTTACCATTTGGGATGGGAGAGAGAGGAGAACTCTTTAAAGATTAGACAAATCTCATTGAAAATCAAGCAAGGAACTGTCGACATGTATGCCAATCCCCTTGACAAGAGTGATTAAGATTGATTAAGGGTGAGGTTAACTCTAGATTGCTTGGTTACCTTAGAAATTTTGCTGAGCTAGCATGTCGATCCACTGTAAGAGCTTCTGTTAGGCTTGTGCCTTTAGCTGGTTTCTGCTCTAGGGTCATGGATTGTTAGCACAACACTCTCAATTCTCAAAGCAAGTTCATAACTTCCGGACTGGTTTTTGACTCAATAAAACTTTTTGAAAAACATGAAACAAAGTAATAAAACATAAGAAAAGAAAGAAAAATGCATTAGTAACACAATAAAACTCCCCCCAGACTTAACTTGCACCGTCCCGGTGAAAGCAAATCACATTAAGGTGAGAGGTAATATTCAAAGTAAAAGAAAAATAAAAAGAAATTCATTAAAATGAGATAGGGATAGAAAATGGAGATTTGTAAGTGTCCATTGCACTAAGTACCACTTGAGATGACTATGTGTGGCAGTGAGAAGAACTCTCTTCCTCATCTATGGGGTCATCGCCTTCTGAACCAAGCTCTGAGTCTAGTGAGAACTCACCAAGGTCAGGCTCATATGGCTCTCTAGCGGTGGAAGAAGGGCGAAAGTGTGATACCCCGTATCAAGACCTAAAACATCCCAAAGGCCGGGATGGGAAGATCAACACTCTGGGATTGGAAGACAAAGACGTGGGATCTAAACCAGAGATCACAACGAAGACTTGGATCAAGACAGGATCAAGAACGATCGAGCAGAAGTGAAGATACAGCAAGATTGTCCAGGTGGGACGATCATTGTACGAACATGGGAAGAGTCAACAGGACGACGAAATATCAAAGTTCTCCAAATCAAGAAGAGAAGAGTTTGGACGACATAAGAGACCATTCTAAGAAGTTTGGTCGAAGCAGAATGCAAATCGGACGAGCAGATTGAGAGATGGGATGGACGGCCAAGATCTATCCCACAACGACTGCAAGAAGCGTAAATGTTCGGGATGGAGGTATTCTGCACATTTCCAAGCAACTATGTGGAAGCTCAGAAACATGGAAATGAGAGAAGGATTAAAATAGGAGACGAGGACGAAACCCTCCGGACAGGGAAACGTACGAAACCCTCTGGACGAGGAAACGTACATTGGAGTAATCTTGTTCTAAGCCAATCAAGTGGTGACACCAGCTACTTGGAGAAGATAAGGATGATCATAACCAATATGGAGAAGACATGCAGCTACTACAATGGAGCCAAAACCATTCAGCCAATCAAGTAGAGACATTGAGCTATTGGAATGGGACAAAATTGTGTTGGACCAATCGTGCGTCAACACTACCTGCTAGGAGAGAGTGAGGCCGTGGATAAGCATTCTTATTGGATGATCTTATCCAGAAATGGACGAATCAAATGGAGATACACAGCAGCTTCTAAGACGGGCCAATCATGTAGCAACATCCAGCTACTGAATGAGGACGAAGCAAGCCTAAACCAATTGGGCAACGACACCAGCTGCTATGGAGGAGAGAGGGCGTGGATAAACTCCAAGAATACCTAATGCTATCAGGGAGAGACACCCAGCTGCTCATGAAAGACAAGGATTGTCCAAACCAATCAGACGGAGACACAGAAGTGCTCAATGGAGACGAAATTGACTTGGACGAATCAGGATGCAACACCAACCACTGAGAGAGAGGAGAAGCTTCAGGAGTGGATGAGAAGCAAGTGTAGAGATGCAGAAACGGATTGGATCAAGAGATGACCAATCAGACAGAAGCACCCAGCATCTTAATGGATAAGATGAGTTATAACCAATCGGACGATCACACAACATGCTTGGGGGAAGTCGGCTCATTGGATGAGCATTGAGAGAGGATAGGAATGACGTGTGTCATGTCCTGAGACGCCCTAGAGGCCACCAATCAAAGCTACCTAGCCTAGATCACCTGCATGTTGATATACCTCTAATTTACCACTTTTTATACTGTTTTAGCATTGTTTTCTAATGGTTTTTGGCAGGTTTTCTATCTAAAAAGGTAGTTTTACTGTGTTTATAGTGTCTAGAGTCTAAACAGGTGAAATGATGCATTTTGGAGCAAAACCATAGGATTTGCACTTCAAGCCGCTCCATGCACAAGCACCAACTTTAAGAGGGCCCAGAAAAAGATCTACTCAATGGATTTCATCAAGACCAGTTCCCTGCGTGCTCTGATTGAGTTAACTTTCCAACGCAACTGGAACGGCCTAATTTGGATGAGTAGAAAAGGAGTTACAACCAAAAGAGTGGAGACTGTCCAGACGGCTCTATCGAGAAACAGCGCCCAACCGCGCAGTCCGGCTGGCCGAGGAACGATGTTCCGCGCTCGGCCAAACCATCCGTCCGTCTGAAGTCTCGGCCAAAGTTCCAAAACCGGCCGATCACGCATCACGACCCGGGAAACATTGCCCGCGGTCGGCCAAGCCAAACGTCACGCCACGCCGCGCACGACCATGCCGCGCGAGCCGGGAAACAAGCCTCGCGGCCGCGCAACCCGTTCGCGTACCACGGCCGATGCATCCGTCCGAGCCGGGAAAACGTCCCGCGTCCGGCCGAGAAACATCGGCCAAATCTTCATCCGCCGACCACGCCGGCCGACCGTGAATCCATCCGGCCCGACCGTTCCGACTCGGCCACAACCCGATTGTCCGGCCGATCGTCCCGACCGACCGTCCCAACGCCGCGGTCGACCCGAAGCCCTTTTGAAGCCCATTTCATATTTTCAAGCCCGGCTTAACCCTAAGCCGCCTCTAAAAGACCTAGCACTATATATATAGCTTTTTAGCCTCTTGTGAAAAGAGAGCCGCCTTGTATTACAATTTCATACTTTGAGTTTTATTGCAATCATGTTTTCTTCATCTCTTTGTGTTTTTGCTTTGATTATGTCTGAGTAATTCACTAGTTAGGTTGTGAGATCTATCAAAGAGTTCATGGTTTGATAGGTTGTTAGAAGTCACATAGGGTTTATCATATCGCATCTTCGCCTCTGCTTGAATTCATTGCTGCTTGCTTTTCTGATCAACTAGCATCAGATCTTAGGTTTCATATACTCTCCAAAAGCTTGCTATATAACCTGAACTAAGTATTTGGTGAGCAAAACTTCATAGACTGCGAAAGTTGATCTATGCGGGGTTGTGAACAATTGGGTCTTGAACGAACTATTGCTTGATTTAATCACCTAGGGACATACCAAAAGTTTAGCGACTAGGTAGATTAACAAAGGGGTCGGAGCCTCGACAGTGGAAAGATCATACAATCGTGACCTGAGTTCTAGATAGCGCAAACCCTAGCGAACCTTCTAATATCTTGTTAACCTTGAATCTCTGCGAGTTTCTCATTGCCTAGCGTTTCCCTCTATTGATTTTCATAAACCGTTTTCTGCTTTATTTACTTTGTTAGTTACATCAAAACCCTAAATCATACTTGTTTTCTAGCTATATTAGACTTGCAATACTCGAAGTGTACTTATCTGCTCCTTGTGTTCGATACCCGTTTACTACTTCTGACCTGTGCACTTGCAGAATCAGGGATAGGAAAAGGGAAGAACCTGATCCCGCACATCACATGTCGCATTCTGAGGCAGTGTAGGTTGCCACCAAGCAAAGCTATGCTAGGCCTAGGTCTCCATGTGTCTGCGCATGACTGGAGACGTCCCAAGAAGCCAGGCAGCCTCCTGAACTCCTATAAATACGCTCCTCCAACCCCAAGTCCAAACCATTCCATTCCCAAAGCTAGAGAGCACCTGAAAAGTGATTAGAGAGTAATTAAGAAAGTTTTCTTAATTAAGTGAGGTTAGTGGAAGATTAGAGTAGGTCAAGATCAAAGCTTAAGGAAAGCTAGGAGGATCTTGAAGTCTTCTTAAAGTGGTGAGTCTTGGTGTTATAGTTTTAGTCTTTTGGATCTTTGTTTGTGTATGCAGGTTGTATGAACACCAAAGCATAGGAGATGCTTTCTGTTCATATTGGTTATTGGTTCTGTAGTATAACTCTCTAAACAATAAGGTTTAGTAAAAATTGTGGAGAGTTATGCTGCAGAAATTTATATAATGTGTTGTGAGGTTGTGATGGGTAATCTTCTAGGAGAGAAGTTATGCCGTCAAATCTCTTGTGTGTTTATATGCAGGTTTGCATTGTTGTGAGGTTGTGACGGGTAATCTTCTAGGGAGAGAAGTTATGCCGTCAGATCTCTTGTGTTGTGAGGTTGTGTCGGGTAACCTTCGGGGAAGGTTAGGCCGCCAGATCTCTTTTGTGTGTGAGGTTGTGTTGGGTAACCTTCGGGAAGGATATGCCAACAGATCTCTTTTCTGTGTAAGATTGTGATGGGTAACCTTCGGGGAAGGTTATGCCGTCAGATCTTGTTAGTGTAGATGCATATCTATACATTAGGTGATGTGAGATTGTGGATGGCTATGCCGCCAAATCTCATAGATGCATCGGTTGTGGGGTTATAGCATGGCTATGCCGCTAAACCTCGAGTGCATGCTAACATGGTGGTGCGTAAGGCCCATATGTTGAGTATGACTCCGATGTGGAAAGATCACGGACGGCTGAGCCGCCAGATCTTTCGAGGTTCGTGTGGGTACTCTTCCGAGGCAAGGGAAGCTCTGCCGCAGAACCGGTGGTATGAGGCATAGTGGTGCGTAAAGGCCCATATGCTAAGTACTGAGAACATGTGGCGTGTCTAACCACATGTTGTCTAGGAAGGTGTAGTCAAGCGCATTCTCGCACGTCAGAGCCCAACCGGATTGGCAGCGTGGAGGCTGTGCATGAAGGGAGGAAGACTCGGAGGATAACCTGGTCAGCTGCCTTGGCCGAGTATGGTACCATATGACGATATGGGATCCAACCAGACATTGGCATGGTGCGCCAGTAAGGCCAATAGATGGAAGGATGAACCGGGTACCGCGATGGACTGTAGTGCCCGGGTGAAGGCGTTCATCTAGTTTCTGTGTGATTCCGGATGAGCGTGAACCTTCACAGGCGTGGGCAGAGAATGTGGCTAATGCACCTAGGCGCCTTATTGCATATAGAAAACAAGTATTAGATACTTGTCTAGGTTTGCATGGGCATTGCATATAGATTGCTTGTTTGTATGTTGTTATAGTCTTGGATTGATCGTACCTGTTCTTGTTTGATTGGGGTACGGTTAGTCTTAAGGCTATAGCATCATTATTGTGTGTGATTGCATATGTTATGCAGGTTGTGTACTAACCTCAATGCAGGTGAAGGCGGGGCTCTTATCCCGCGGCGTTTGTGTTTGGAGTTTAGGGAATCCCCCTTGTATAGAGGTCCTAGACTCACTGAGTAATATTAGATTACTCATTCCTTTTGTTTAATGTTTTCAGGTGACCGTAGAGGTGTGAAGTAGAGCGGACCGCTGCAGGCAGTAGGCGCCAGAATAGTTTTGTGGTATGTTTTTGTAAAATTATGGTTTGTTGTTTGGTTTGGAACTAAGGATCGATCCGCATGTTTTTAAGTCGGATTTTGTAAGCACTCTGATATTTTAATAAAGGAAAGTTTTATGTAAAGACCTTATGTTCCAATGATATTAGCTTGGTCCGGGCTAACACAACTCCTGACCGAAGTACGGGTTGGCAAGCCTTAGGCTTTGGTCAAGAGGGTCGAGTTCGTGGAACGGGCTGACCTGGGCTCTGATTTGTTCTTAGTCTGGGATGGCCTATTCGGCGAACATCGACATTTTGTGGCGCTTCTCGGAACGTCTGTGCCTAGGACGGTTCGGGGGTGTTACAAATGGTGGTATCAGAGCATGGTTCATGATCATGCTCGGGAACAAGGATTTTTAAAACGTTTTATCGAGTCAAAAAGGAGTCGCAAAAACTACCTTAGGTAATCTGGTCTGTCTGCAGCATATAGGTAGAATGTTTAGGTTGTGGTTAAGCATTGCTTGATGTTGCTTATAATTTCTGATTGATCATGCATGTTCTTGTTTGATTGTTGCATGGTCAGTATAGAGGTTATGGTAACATTGTGCAATGTGGTAAGCCATGTTTGAGGTGTCTATGGGTGTTGATCATCCATAGAATAGATGGATGCGGATCATCCATGGGATAGATTGTGTTGAATAGGAACCCTAATGTTTGCTTTGTGGTGATAGCTTGAAGTCATGAGTGACTGGTTTGTGGATGATGAGGGGTCGTGGTTTAGTACTGGGCAAGAGTGGACAGTGGAGTCTGGATCGTCGAGTTCAGAACCGTCGAGCAACTCGGAGCACTGGATCGTAGTGACGGACTTGGAACAGCCAACACTAACAGATCATGCTAGCAGCAGTGATTGGGACGAAGACGTATATCTCATGCCGAGAGACAACGTGCAGCCCAGCACAACGGTGAATGAGTATGGCGAACACATGACATGGCCAGTACATTACCCTGAGGAGGAGAGAGTAGGTGCCATCTACCCAAATCATAGAGATCAGTTCAGGCGAGACTACACCAAACTCTTGGGATAGAGATAGTCCACCAAGTGTTCTACCGCATATACCAATGCCGCATGTATTTGCACCGGGAGGTGGAGTATACCCGTACATGCCAACGGAGGAGAATCCAACGGACTACGTGTACCCGTTCATTGCCAGTGGCGTAGAAAGCAATGATCCAGCCGTTGCAGTTCAAGTCAATAGTGAAGTCTTCACAAACCAACCTGAAGAACCGGATACGCCGGAACCAACATGGGAGGATTATCTTGGACACCAGAACGTATCAA